AAAGGCTATTTATATATATATATATATATATATATAATATATATATATATATTATATATATATTTAGGGCTGGAGCGATTTGTGGGATTATCCCGGACAAGCTCCGCCTACAAGGCCGCGCCTTCGACCGTCTAAAGTTTGGAGTATTTCACACTCAACAACGTGCGGCTCCGTGAGCTCTGTGAACTGGAAACAGCTTCACTGCAGCACAACTGCTGTCCACGAATACGTGAAGCAGCACGAACACGTGAAACCAAAGTATGCCGCAGCACTGTGTCTAGGCGGCAGCACCGCAAATTGTGTTTACTTTCTGTCGCCAAACGAGCACGACACATTATCAGCACGAGGACACGTAGTGTTTCTTCATCGCCTTCATGTTAAAAGTAATTTCTGCCCGCTGCTGTCATAGTAACGTAATGTTACACCGCGAGTCATGTAACGATCGGCTGTTCCATATTTTCTGTTTATTTAACGGCCACGTATGAGCGAGAAAACAGCTGAATCTAATTACAGACAATCTGCGACTGTCTGTACAGTCTGAGTCCTTTCAGGTGTTCGCTGATGCAGAAATACATTTATCATACTGCATTACTTAATATTGAAATGAATCCATGTCAGAAACATCATTTAGTTTTAAATAAAGTAGCCTAATTAATGTCTGTTATTGTTATCATCACAACACATCAGTGACGTGGAAATTTGATTCATTGTAAGATTTGCTGCTATTCTCATTATTCTAATGTGCTTCATCAGGTTGAGTGAATAAAATATAGATTTATTGATTAGACATGTCTTTGATATTTATTTTGGGTAAATTGGTATGTTAATCGAGTAATAGGCAACTTTTCTTTCTTTAGAATAAACAAAATTAGTCAGATTAATCGACTTGAAAAATTATATATATTAGTATAAGTTTAGGACTGGTTAGCTGGACTAGTTTAGGACTGGTTAGCTGGATTAGTTAGCTGGACTTGTTTTGAACAGGTTAGCGCTACTTTTGGACTGGTTAGCTGGACTGGTTTAGGACTGGTTAGCACTACTTTTGGACTGGTTTGCTGGACTGGTTAGCTGGACTAGTTTAGGACTGGTTAGCTGGATTAGTTAGCTGGACTTGTTTTGGACAGGTTAGCTGGACTGGTTTAGGACTGGTTAGCTGGACTGGTTAGCTGGACTAGTTAGCTGGACTTGTTTTGTACAGGTTAGCGCTACTTTTGGACTGGTTAGCTGGACTGGTTTAGGACTGGTTAGCACTACTTTTGGACTGGTTTGCCGGACTAGTTTGGGACTGGTTAGCTGGACTAGTTAGCTGGACTTGTTTGTACAGGTTAGCGCTACTTTTGGACTGGTTAGCGCTACTTTTGGACTGGTTAGCTGGACTAGTTAGCTGGACTAGTTAGCTGGACTTGTTTTGTACAGGTTAGCGCTACTTTTGGACTGGTTAGCTGGACTGGTTTAGGACTGGTTAGCGCTACTTTGGACTGGTTAGCTGGACTGGTTAGCTGGACTGGTTTAGGACTGGTTAGCGCTACTTTTGGACTGGTTAGCTGGACTGGTTTAGGACTGGTTAGCGCTACTTTTGGACTGGTTAGCTGGACTGGTTTAGGACTGGTTAGCACTACTTTTGGACTGGTTAGCTGGACTGGTTTAGGACTGGTTTGCCGGACTAGTTTGGGACTGGTTAGCTGGACTAATTAGCTGGACTTGTTTTGGACTGGTTAGCTGGACTTGTTTTGGACTGGTTAGCTGGACTTGTTTTGGACTGGTTAGCTGGACTTGTTTTGGACTGGTTAGCTGGACTAGTTTAGGACTGGTTAGCTGGACTAGTTTAGGACTGGTTAGCTGGACTAGTTTAGGACTGGTTAGCTGGACTAGTTTAGGACTGGTTAGCTGGACTAGTTTAGGACTGGTTAGCTGGACTAGTTAGCTGGACTAGTTTAGGACTAGTTTAGGACTAGTTAGCTGGACTAGTTTAGGACTAGTTAGCTGGACTAGTTTAGGACTGGTTAGCTGGACTAGTTTAGGACTGGTTAGCGCTACTTTTGGACTGGTTAGCTGGACTAGTTAGCTGGACTTGTTTTGGACAGGTTAGTGCTACTTTTGGACTGGTTAGCTGGACTGGTTAACTGAACTGTGTTCTGATTGGTGGAGCAGCGTTACTAATAACCTGTGATGTGTTCAGGTGTGGCAGGCAGGGAAGCGTCAGGCCTCCAGAGCCTTCAACCTGTACGCCAACATCGACATCTTGAGGCCGTACTTTGACGTGGAGCCGGCGCAGGTCCGCAGCAGGTAGGACCCTCCACTTCCTGTTTGTGGTCAGCTGTTTCCTGTTCGGTCTGATGCTAACTGATGCTAACTGTCTCCCCTCAGGCTGTTGGAGTCCATGATACCTGTCCGCATGATCAACTTCCCTCAGGTACACACTCCTACTTCCTGAAACAGGTGTGACTGCTCACCTCAGATCCAGGTTCATCTAACAGGCTGATCCTGGGTCAGGTCCAGGTCCAGGGTCATTCAAGACAGGCTTTTCAAAATAAGAGCTGCTTTCTCAGACGTCTGTATGAACTGGTCAGCTCCAGCTCTGGTCCTCTGACAGTTTGTACTCCCTGTGTGTAGAAGATAGCAGGCGAGCTGTACGGCCCCTGATGCTGGTCTTCACTCTGGTGGCGATCCTGCTGCACGGCATGAAGACGTCAGGGACCGTCATTGTAAGCGCACGCACACAAACACTCACTCGCTGTGGTCCTCTGACGTAGCTGATGTGTGTTCGTGTGTGTTGCAGAGGGAGGGAACCCTGATGGGAACAGCCATAGGAACGTGTTTCGGTTACTGGCTCGGCGTTTCCTCCTTCATCTACTTCCTGGCGTACCTGGTCAACGCTCAGATCACCATGCTGCAGATGCTCTCCCTGCTGGTCAGTGACAGGACTGCACACACTCATTTAGGATCTGAATGAGTATTAATAAAGGCTCGTCATCACTTCCTGTCTCCTGTCCCCAGGGTTACGGTCTGTTCGGTCACTGCGTCGTCCTCCTCATCTCCTACAACATCCACTTCCACTTCCTGTTCTACGCCCTCTGGCTACTGGTCGGAGGACTGTCCACTCTGCGTATGGTGAGGACTGCGTTTCCCATCAGCCCCCTGTTCTCCCTCAGCTGTGAGCTAACCTGGTTTGTGTGTGTCGTCCCGTGTCAGGTGGCGGCTCTGCTGTCTCGTACGGTGGGTCAGACGCCTCGCCTCCTCCTCTGCGGGACGCTGGCAGTCCTCCACATGCTGTTCCTGCTCTACCTTCACTTCGCCTACCACAAGATCGTAGAAGGTCAGAAACGCCATTATGTTTAGAAACCGTCATGTGACTGCTGTCAGAGTGAGACGTCCTGTCGTTGTGTCAGAGTGAGACGTCCTCTCGTTGTTTCAGGGCTCCTGGACTCTCTGGAAGGACCCTACATGGCTCCCATCCAGCGGGTGGCCAGGGACGTGCCTGAACTGACGCTCAACGCCACAGTGAGGAGCCTGGGGGCCCTGCTGAGGACCCACTGAGGCCCCCGCCCGTCTCTTCCTGTCAGAAGCTCCATCAGTTTTCTCTCTGAACTCCTCTGTTGGTGTTTATGTTTTATTCTGTTGGTTTCCATGTTCTGCTGTATTTATAGTTTCTGTACAGAGTCTCTAATAAACTTTATGGTTTGACTTAATGAGCTGCTGGTTTTCTAATTAATATCTAAATGTTTAGTTGGAGCAGATCAGCTGATCCATCTGGCAAACAGACAAAACATTTTAAATGTGGAAACTGAAGCTGTCAGATGAAATGATGCGACGTGTAAAGTACATTTAGTTCAGGATGTTGATGTACTTCAGTATTTCCACGTGACACTGTTCACTACTTTGAACTGACTGCAGGTTCAGATGATGACCAACAGGATCAATGAATAAAATCACAGTAAACTAAGAGTATGTGAAGGAGCTCTACACAAGTACTTTTACTTTGTACTACTGTACTTATACTGAAGTATTTCTAATTAAACTAGTGTAGTATATTTCAGTTCAGAGTACAAGTACCTCAGATTTAGACGTGCAGAAGTTTAAATGTTATTTCCTACAGTAAGGCAGCCGAAGAAAGCTTTTATTTTGCCCTGTGCGCTGCCTGTCAGGTATCTATGAAGATTCTCAGTCATCCAGGTCATAGTTATCCAACGAAGGTTAAAATGAAGGGCAACTGGACTTGGTTGAAGCTACTGGAAGACGTTTCGTCCCTTATCCAAAGGACTTCTTCAGTTCTGACTGACTGGCAGGGAAACTCAGCTATTTAACCTCAGTGGGGTCGTTATCTCGGGTCATCGATACCGCTGGTTCGTTAGTGTTCCTTGTTGCTGTGACGACAGTCGTTACAGTCGTTGAGACTACCTGTGGCCAAGACTGAAACGACCATCGTTGGTATCTTCACCTGAGGCCAAGACTGAACGACCATCGTTGGTATCTTCACCTGAGGCCAATAGGTTACGTTTGTTGAGTTTCCTGGGAAGTGATGAAAGGACAGCATTGTAAGTGGGGGATAAGTGGTGGCGTAGACCCCCTCCCCTGTTCAATGACGGCTTCTCAACCCTGGTGTAGATGCTTCCTTGACACCTCTTTCAAACCATCCATCTTCTCTGTCTAAAATGTGCACCTGGTGGTCCTCAAACGAGTGTCCTCTGTCCTTCAGATGTAAGTAGACAGCAGAGTCTTGACCTGAGGAGTTGGCCCTTCTGTGTTGAGCCATGCGTTTGTGTAGTGGTCAGGTAGTTTTATCCCCCCCAACCGCGGTCCTGCTTGCACCAATCAGAGGCTGAGGAGTTTAGGGCGTAGACTATATAAAAATAAAGGTTTAGATGATAAAATCCAGCCAATCAGAGCGGAGAAAGAAGAGTCTATTTACAGCGGTTTACCTGCGAGACTGTGCTCAGGGTAAAAGAGCCCGGGTTTAGTGTTACGTAGCATACGGTGCAACGTCACCGCGCAGAGCGTCGTTCAATCCAGCGCGGAAATCTGCAGCAGGAAGACCGCCAGGGGAGCAGGCGGAGGATGCGGGTGTATTTCTGCGGGAGTATCCGCGGCGGCAGAGATGACGTGCACGTGTACCGGAGGATCGTTCAGACGCTGCAGAGCTACGGGACCGTGCTGACCGAGCACGTGAGCAGCACCGAGCTCACCGACAGAGGTCAGAAGTAATTTCACAAACTTGTCTTCAGAGTAAACCGGATCATCAGTCAGAACAGAAGTGGTCTCGGCTGCAGGTCTCTGGTCTGAGCTCAGACCAGAGACCTGCAGCCGAGTCTGGATCCATTAAAGTCTGGACACCAGAACCAAAACACAGGAATCCTAAAGTACAAGTATTTATACTGCAGTACTAAAAGATTTACCATTAAACTGTAAGACTTTAAGGAGTCCGCCCCCCCAGGACCTGGTCTCCCAGCACGTGTCCTTGGTAGTGGCGTTCAGAGTCCAGTATATGCTGGACTGGCCACAGCGAGTATTTCACTGTAGTATAAATACACGTAGTTTCCTGGCTTTATGTCACTGAGTTGCTGCGCTGTGATTGGACAGGAGAGGACGCCGCCGCAGCCGGAGACCGAGCCATCCACGACCGAGACCTGGACTGGCTGCGACAGTCTGACGGTGAGACCGGTCCCTTTGATGATTATTAGAGGGCGATTGGGCCCTCAGCGGTGTCTGCAGGTGTGTGTGACCTTTGACCTCTGTGCGTTCAGTGGTCGTGGCGGAGGTGACGCAGCCGTCTCTGGGCGTCGGCTACGAGCTCGGCCGAGCGGTCAGCATGAAGAAGAAGATCCTCTGTCTGTTCAGACCGGCGTCCGGACGCAGTGAGGACACGTCCTGCTTCCTTCCTTCCTTCCTTCCAGCTTCCTGCTCCCTTCTTCCATAATGCTCTGTTCTTTCCTTCCTTCCCCTCTCTTTTCTTCCTGCTTCCTTCCTTCCTTCCTTCTTCATCCTGCTTCCTTCCTTCCCTCCTTCCCTCCTTCCCTCATTCCAGCTTCCTGCTCCCTTCCTTCCTCTCCTAACCTGACAGCTTCACATCGGCTGCATTCCAGTTCCCTTGACTTACACAAATATAATATTTTACCCCACCGCCCGCAGATCTCTCCGCCATGATTCGAGGAGCTGATGACGGCGACCTCTTCGTGGTTAAAGATTACAGCGAGGACGAGGTGGAGAACGTTCTGCAGGAGTTCTTCAACGACCTGAAGAGAACCTGAAAAACACTGTTTGTTTTTGTTTTTTTACAAAATGAATAAAGTTGGAAAGCAGAAGAAAAAGTGTCGGTGCCGTTTGTTTCTACCTGAGCAGGTGAGCTCAGCTGCAGTTTGACACTTTTACTCACTTCCTGTTTTTAATCCAATATAATCAGCTTCAGAATCAGAACCAGTCTGCTTAAAATATCACAAAATCAACATCAGCGACTCAGTTTGATGGAAATCTGTAAGATATATAAATGTAGTACATGAAGAAATACTTTAAAAACGTCCTTCAAACTGTTACTTAAGTATTGGCAGCAAAATATACTGAGGACGGCGAGCTCTACGTGAAGAGAGAGATTTACACTGTGGTATTAGTACTTATACTGTAGTAGAAGAGAACTTCTTCCAGCGCCGTCAGTTCTTCCTCTTCAGAATGTTGAACAGCTGATTTAAAGAATCAAAATGAAACATTTGTTTATTAGAAATAATCTCGATAAACTTCTGCTGCTTATTAAAACTTTCTTTCGGTCCCCTTGCTCGATTTTAGCTTCCTGTCACCTTCCTCTCTCCTCAGTTTGCAGGTCGGCCTCCAAGTTCTTCTGTTCTCAGGTTCTGGTCCTGGTGTGGTTCCTCAGGCGTCCAGCAGGAGGCAGCGCAGCTCAGAGAGTGAAGCTCAGACACAAGGCTGTTTCAAAATGGCCCCAGAGTCCTGATTGACACCCGAACCCACCTCATACAGGTTCACATGGGTCTACAGAGAACCTCCGAGGTGCTGCCGGGAACGTTGCATGGGCTCTGTTCTAAAGAGGGAGAAACTTTATGGTCCACAAAGCCTGAAGAACCCAGAACCTTAAGGAACCCTGGGAATTTCTAACAAACCCCAATAAAACTTAGAGAACCCTGAATAAGTTTGGGGATGTCTGAGAACAACCAGGTTTCCCGATGAACCCTTCAGACAGCCTGAGGAGAACCCAGAGAACCCTTATAGGACTGCTGATGAACCTTAAAGAGGGTAGGGTTCTTGAATGTTCCTGACAGACCCCCTCGGCCGTCAGTGTGGATGATTGACAGGCGGTGTGACATCATGATGGTGGGCGGCGCCCTCTGACAGCAGCTGCTGAACACAGACGGGAAAAACAAACACAAAGATGAATTATTCATTAATTCTAATAATTCAGACCAGTCGATCAATATCAGCTGTTGCCAGGCAACAGGACACACGGGCGATTATCAGATCGTTCATTAGCGTTAATGAAACTGCGTGTCTCAGGCTGACGATGAAGGCGCTCATCAATATTAATGAAGTCATTTAATCAGCCACTGATCAGGTAACAACCTGCAGACCTGCCGCAGGAACAAACTGATCGCGTCGTATTTATTTAAGATCGTCTGCTTGTTCTGAACGTGTCCAACTCCAGAAACCCGACCTTAAATGTCGGAGTGCAGCATTCAGGAGGATCAAAAATGCGTTTTCATCAGTGTTTCAGTTACCTCTGCCATGTTCCTACAGGAGCCCAGAGAGTTCAAATCCAACACTGGCTCTACAGAGGGCCTTTCAGGGCCACCGTAGCTTCACCACGCGCTGGGAAGGAGAACCTCATCGCCAGATGCCACAAAATCCGTCACACTACTCCTTTAAACAAACACTGATGCTCCACTTTGCTAACGCTATAATGTCAGAAACACAGACTGTACAACAGAAATGGATGTAGCCGCCGTGATGTCACCCGTTGGTTTGTGCAGTACCGTTCTGAAGCCTCCAGTTTGGCCGTCGCCATCTTCTTGTTTTGGAACCAAACGTGACCATATTTGGATGAGAGGGTGGAGCTAGCTAGCTTGGTTAGCAAGGTGCATCTGTAATTCACGTTAGCTGTGATATTAGCTGGGATGCTAATTTTGGCTAGCGACAAACAGGCTTAAAACAAAACGTACCTACCTGAAAAATGGTAGCGACTTGTCAACCACAAGGTAGCCCCGCCCTAAAGCCTCCCCTGCTTCCTGGTCTCTGTTCCTCTAAATGGGACCATAATTTACTAAATGAACATCATGCTGTGTTGAAGAAGACTTGAAACTAGCGACTGAGACCAGAAACTCATCAGGAAAGTGTTTACTGAGGGAATAAATCAGCTGACAAGTAGAAACAGTTTCTCTCTGCAGCCGCTGGAGTCGCCCCCTGCTGGCTGCTGGAGAGGATGCAGGTTCCTGCTTGGTGAAGTGAGGCACCTCGTACCCGGGGCCTCTCTTGCTTAGGTGGGGGACAGGAGCGTACCCAGCATGCACTGGGAACAGGGACCTTCCTGTGACTCCCTCGGATAAATTGAAAGATGAAACACAAAGACTGAGCTACGTTTAAAATATTTTATTTGTTTTAAAATATACATCGGTTTACAAATTCAGAAAATAAAATCGTTAGTGGAGTTTTAACAGTCTTTTTTTTTAGTTTTCTTTTCATTCAATCAGAGCCGGTAAAAACCCGCTGAGACGATCAGAAGGAACCGTAGACACGAGGAGAGGAAACAGTTCAGGTGAACCCCGGAATAAGCACCACGGCTGGGGTCAGAGGTCAACAAACTGTGAGAAAGCAACAGCACCTGTGGGCGGAGGAGGCGGGGCTACAATCTGCTGAACGCTAAAAGTTCAGCACCGAACATCCAACTGTGAATAAAAACAATCGTTCCTCAAACCCTCCTCTGGTTGCACTCCGGTTCTCAGTTTGTTACAGAAGTTCCACATGTCACTTGTCCTCAGGTGTCTGTGAGGTGTCCTCAGGTGAGGACGCCGGCGGCCATGTTGGACGTCCTCAGCTCTGCAAACAGCCGTTTGTGTTTCGAGTCTCAGAAGAACATTTATCCTCCCATCTGATTGATTTTAGCTAACGTCAGCCAGCTAACCCCTGTTCAGTTACTAAAGAAATCTAACTAGCACACAAGCTAACATAGCCAGTAGGCTACGTTTAGCATTAGCAGGGTACATGCTATCTATTTCACCAATAGTTTGTCCAGGTGTGTAATTACGTGGTTGTTTCTCTGATTAAATTAGCAACACATTACCACCTGCCACTTTACTCACTTCTTTCTGGGCTCTTAATTCATTCACTAATGAATTCTAGTGCAATTAGCTGCTAGGTAATTAATATTAGTGAATTAGCAGCTGAGCTCTGGGGATGGAAATAAACCAATTTTAACATTATTTGACACGATATCAGAACGACTGATGCAAAGAGAAAACCAGGTAGTGGCAAACACATCGGCTAACGTAGCTTCTACCAGCTACCTGTTAGCTTTGAATATAAATTCAAATGTAGTGCTAATGCTGCGTTCATGTAGGATGGATGGTAGAGATCAAATCAAGATTAATTATGGAGCACTGTATGCATTTAATTTGGGTTAATAACCTTTTACTGACTTAAGCCAACGTGAATATATTTATTCACGTTAGCTTAAATATTCCATATTTAGAATATTTAGCTTGGCTTAAAGTGTAAATATGGAATATTTAGCGCTAAATGTTTCGTACTGACGAGTCAGATAGTCAATAAAAATGTGAATGTGTAATTAAGACTTGAATGTTGCTGAAGGCTGTTTACACGTCTGAAACTCCCACCGCACATGAACGCAGCTGAAGGTAAACTGATTTTAAGACGTGACAGTAAAGTGTGAACAGTAATAAATCTACATGATCAGACAGTTTTCAGTGCACGCAGACAGGTGTGATGCATGCTGGGACACAGAGCAGCGAGTACGACTTTAAACTGACCTTGGATCAGCAGAGAAACAGAATAACGTCGAGCCGACTGGACGCTTTTATACATCGTTATTTCACTTCCTGTCTTTTTAATTAATCTTTTATTCTGAAAAGGAGTTTGTAAATATCATTTCAGAAATAAAATGTTAGATTTTATTAGTCAGCTTTTTATAAAAGAGGTAATTACTTGTGAGTAATGAGTGGTTAATGAAATGTTTACTGTTTATTAGCACACTAAGTTTGGGCTCATTGATGAGATCAGTACTTTCTAATAAGCCAACAAGACGGCTGTTGTTGTAAATGTTGATAAGTCATAATTAATAATGAACACCTTGAACAGTAGCTTTTAAATAGCGACTAGTAAGGAGTTAAAATGTCTGCCAGAGGAGAGGAGGAACATATGGTGGAAGGGAAAGAGGAGGAATAATGATGAAGAAGAAAAGGTAAGTATGTAAAAGAGGAGAAGAGAACGGGCAGGAGCAAGAAAGATGAGTAGGGAGGAGGTGACCTTGGCTGAGACGAGGCGGCCGGTCGACGTCTCCGATTATATTCATGAAGAAGAATCATTAAAGTTGCACGAGTCCAGATGTAAAATCTATTTATACCCAGAGTGCATCACTCTACAACACACACTCTCTCATTTCCAACTTCCTGCTCTCTCCTCGCGTCTCCTGAACATCTGATGGCTCGTATGAAATATTAAACACTTACATTTCCACCCTGTGCGCACTCTGAAGTATTAGCGACCCATTTCTGACGGTAATAAAACCTTAATAATTTAACGGCCGCCGCTCGTTCTGCTAATAATTACAGCCGAGGACGAAGAAATCAGCATGATAAAAGGAGGAGAAAGAGGAGGAGAGGATGGTGCGTTTCTGTGTTCAAGTGTGTGTGGGATTTTCCAGTGTTCCTCATCCTGCAGCCGTCACACAGAAGAAAATAGTTTTTAAATATTTCAGCAGCTCAGAGACCAAGAAACGGCCTGAACATGTTTGTACATGTTTTATTTACCACCGGCCGGCTCCCACAGCAACTCCTGCGTGTTTTAGCCTGTAGCTAACAGACAATAACTACTGCACGTTTAACCTTTTAGCTAACAGGCTAACACACGCAGGGCTTCCTGTAGCTAACAGGCTAAAACACGCAGATGTTCCTGTAGCTAACAGACAATAACTACTGCACATTTAACCTTTTAAGGTAAATGATTAAAACATGCCGATGTTCCTGTAGCTAACAGACAATAACTCCTGCACGTTTAACCCTTTAGCTAACAGGCTAACACACGCAGGGCTTCCTGTAGCTAACAGGCTAAAACACACAGATGTTCCTGTAGCTAACAGACAATAACTACTGCACATTTAACCTTTTAAGGTAAATGATTAAAACATGCCGATGTTTCTGTAGTTAACAGGCTAAATCACGCCGAGGTTCCCGTCGGTAACAGACAATAACTCCTGTACGTTTCAACCATTTAACAGGCTAATACACGCAGACATGCTGCTACGGTCCTTTAGGGTTAATTACATAAGAAACCATGCTAGCTGTTAGCAGACAGCTGATGTTACGGTAGCTACAAACAGCTAGCGTATCCTATGTTAACTTTAGTGTATGTAGCTAGCTGATATTAGCTGTGAATGGTTACAAACGCCTGCTAAAGCGAACTAATGTTAGCTGTTAGCAAAGCATTATCCAAAGCAAAAAAGTTTGTTGTAGGTAACTAGTTTTATGCCAGAACATATTGAGCCTAGCTTAGCACAAAGACTGTAAGCAGGTAGACCCTGCTAGCCTAGTTTCATTTGCTCGGATCCACACGACATCCAGCTCGACGGCGGACTAACGCAGGGATTAAACCTGTGACCAGCCCGTTCTGCCAACACGTCTGTGTCCCATCATGCACTTTGATCAATACTCGACCAGCAGTGACCATAGCACACCACATGGTCATGAAGCTAGTCTGTGATTGGTGCTCGTGTGCGCCGTCTTGATCTATAACAAGATCATTCGTGATAAAAAAAAAACAGGACTAAAGAAATCATCAATACCACGGCCGCTCTCGGCTTTTAAAGGCTGATCAATAATTGTATCTTCAGCGCACTGAAGCTTTAACACAGAGTTCGAACACTTCAGTTCAGTGCTGATCAATACTCCATCACTTCCTGTGACAACATGGACGCCGCTGAGGAAACAAACTGTCGGCGTCTCACAAAAAAGAAAAAAAAAAAAAAACTATTTAGTGTTCAGGTTTTAAATTCATTAAGTCAAACTCTGTTAAGACTCCTGCAGTCAATCAATCAGTGATCATTGGTCCTCGGTGAGAGTCACAATCAGAGAGCGGTGAGGAAGGCAACATTCAATCAGCGACACCGACCTCAGAACAACAAACTGAAAGGTAACGTACGGAAGCGCGGAGGCGCCAGAAACATAAAACAGATCAATAATTATAATTAATAATTATTAGGCTTGAATTAGCAGTAACTTCACACCTGATACGACCAAAGCTCACGTACACCTTTTTACCATCTGGTTAGAATTCAATGGTCATCTATATTTCCTGTTTGCATTTACACTTTTTGATGTGTGATCAACACTTAAGCATCCTTTTGACTTGATTTCTAGCGCTGTTAAACAGTCGTTAGCCTCTAGCAATTAATCCTTACTCAGCTTTTTCTTATTATTGATCCTCAGTAAGTGAAAGATTTATTCTTTCATCTTATTGATGACTTCTGTTTCTGGCACTAACAGGCTTCCGTAGAACGTGATCTGAACAAAAAAACAAACAAACAACTGATCAAAAAAAAACAACAACAACAACTCAAATCCAAACAGACACAAATCTCTTAATAATAATGGATCAATACTTCAGATTTCATAACGAAGAAAAACAAAAAGGTGATAACGACAAAATAACAACTTGATGGTTACATTCCAGGTGGGAGAAGCTCCGCCCCCCAGTCAGGTGAGATGGTCCGTGACGTCCCGACAGACCAATCTGAACACGCCACGACAGGAAATCAATGATTAATATAAGACGAGAAAATAAAAGTCTGACCTTCAAGTAGGCCCGGCGTCATACTCGCAACCTTCCAGAGAGAGAGAGAGAGAGAGAGAGAGAGAGAGAGAGAGAGAGAGAGAGAGAGAGAGAGAGAGAGAGAGAGAGAGAGAGAGAGAGAGAGAGAGAGAGAGAGAGAGAGAGAGAGAGAGAGAGAGAGGAAGTGTGATAGGCACTGAGAGTCTGAGTGTGTGTTCTCTTCAAAATAAAAGCTCCCGGTCAGGAAACAAGGCAAAGACGTCCGTAAAGTTTCTAGTTTTGTACTCTGACCACACACACACACACACACACACACACACACACACACACACACACACAATCATTATTATATTTTGACTGATTATTCAGAACTTAATTTTCCAATAATCAACATATCGTCGTTTAATCAGCCGTCCACGTGCTGGACGCTACATGACCACCAACCAAACTCTGTTATTTTTTGAGTGTTTTAAAAAACTTTAATCTTCATTCAACTGTTTCATCAACCTTTAATCTTACTGAGTTTCCTGCCTCGTTCTGCTTTCAGAAGAAGAACGGCGACCTCTACGTGTTTGATTAAATTTGAACAAAATTAAGAGAATTGTTTTCTGATTCTAGTTAATCTTTAAAAATACTGTTTTAATTTTTTAACACTTTAAATCACTGATCGATATCACAACTGATCGGTCTGACACACACACACACACACACACACACACACGGGTCGGGCGGCGAGCTCGGCAGCATACGGTAGAGTATGGCTATATCCTGGATGGCCGTGACCTCTGACCTCTGTGACAGCCGGGTCAGCTGAGGGAGCACAGTGTGGGGCGAGCGAGGCGTGCTCAGGCTGCGGAGAGCGAGCGTCAGTCCAGCAGCGTGCCTTGCTCCTGGGCTCGGGTCAGGCTGTCTTTGCGGTGCAGGTGGTGCACGCCCATCCTCTTCGGGCTCTTCTGAGGCCGCTGCGGGGCGGCGGCGGCAGCGGCGAGGGCGGGGTCGAAGTCCAGGAGGCGGGGCGAGATGACGGGCAGGTCGTGGGGGAGGACGTCTCTCTCCTCGGCCGAGCTCTCCTCCTCCTCCTCCTCCTCCCCCCCCAGCTCCTTCCTGCGGCTGTCGGCTGGGCTGGTTGCCAAGGTGACCGCCGTGTCCCCGCTGCCGCCATCATCCTCCAGGTTCATCAGCAGCCTCTCGCCCTCCTCCACGGAGCCGCCGTCGCCGCAACGGCCCCTCTTGCCGGGCCGCAGCTCGGTGTCTGTGTCGGTGTCGAGGCTGGACCCGCGGCTCGGCGTCCAGCTCCGTGCCGACGAACCCTCCTCGCCATCCGAATACGCCGCTCTGTGGCGGTCGGTGGAGGATGAAGCCCCGCCCCCCGGCGGCGGCCTCCTCCTCTGCAGCTCTTGAGCCGTCTGGCTGCTGAATGACGTGCGGTGAACCACGGAGCCTTCAGTGGACGGCGCCATCTTCTCCACAAACATCCGCTGCCAGCTGGCCAGCAGGTCCTCCTCCGAGCTCCCGGAGCTCGCCAGCACGCTGGGCGCCTGCGGGAGGGGGCGGGGCATCGTTAGAGGCTACATGAGTCATGATCAGTAAACTGAATATACCTGAACCTGCGGCGGTCTTACCTGTGGCGGGCTGCTGAACGGGCTGGACTGACTGGACAGCGGCTCGCTGGCGGCGTCCCGCTGGGATGGTGGCGTGTGATGGTGGACGCCCCCGCCGGAGGAGGATGAGGGGGCGGGGCTGCCAGGGGCCATCCGCTCGTCATCGCTCTGGACGAGGCTCAGAGAGATGGCCTGCCGCGTGGCGTAGGTGCAGTTGGGCAGCGGGGAGTTTTTTGGGATCTTCACTTTGTCGTCTGACGAGAACTCGATGACTTTGCGGCCGGGGTAGAGCGGGTGGGGGGGCGGCGGCGGCGGGTACGGGTTCAGCTTCTCAAAGGACGGAGCGCCGCCCGCCTCCTCGCTCCCCGACTGCCCGTCCAGACTGCTCTGACTGCGGCAGGAACCGTTCTGCTGCGCCGCCTCCTGACCGCCGCCGTTCTCCCGGCCGCGGCCGCGGCCCTCGGCCCCCGCGGGGCCCGTCATGTCCACGTGCACGAAGACGTCCTCTGCGACGGGGCGGCTGCAGCTGCTGCTGGACTGGGCGGAGTTGAGGACCAGGGGCTCGGGTTTCTCCAGGACGCGGGCGATGACGGAGGTCGGCACGACGTCGGCGGGAGTCAAACTGAGCGTGTCCGGGTCCTGGGAGCCGGGGGCGGGGCCTCGCTCCGGCAGGCTGCTCTTCATGTGTTTGTTCAGCATGTCCTGAAGCTCGTACGGCAGCTGCAACACACACAGAGTGTTAGAGTGTTTCCAGGAAGTGGGTCGGATCAGAGGTGACGGGTTGAAACAGCTGAGTCTCTATAAACTCTAATGGAACTAATGGAACCATCGATGGCCTCAGCAGAACCAGAACACACACACACACACACACACACTCACTCACTCCGCTGGAGGTAAATTCAGACGTGCATCTACGAGCATCAGCGTTTTTATGGATCCCGTTTTCGATGTTCGGCTGCTTCTTCTACACTGAATATTTTCCGTGTCGGCCGTTTGCCTCCTTGGTGCCTCCCTGGTTAAACGCCGTCAGTTCAACATGCAAGAAAATATATCTACATGTTGCGGCGGCATAGACCCCGTCCTTCTGCCTCAACAGGTCAAAGGGTCGTTCTCGCCATCTCCTCCGACGCCTTCTCTCCTTTCTGCGGTAACAGTAACTGCTGCTTCGTTTGTAGCAGCCTACACCAACGAAGAAGAAACAACACCGTGGGACTTGGAAACCTCACCGCCAACTAGCGTTTTGGCGACGCTGACACCAATGCACAATTATAAACGCTCACCACGGCACGCCGCCGTCTACAGCAGAAGTATGAATTGGCCTTTAGGTTAGCAAACTGTGGCTACAGCGGTGAAGCTAACATGCTCGCAGCTCTCCTGCTACGACGGCTAACATTGACACCGCAGCAGCACGTGAGCTGCACACAGTGACGCCGTTGGACTGCATTATATTCAGAGCGCTGATGTAGTTCAGCACAACGCCATCAACACACGCTCGGTAAAGACGGGTGACGTAAACGTTGACTCGCATTACGTGCGTCGAAGCGTCGCCGCATCTGGTGTTAGCGCGATTCCCCCGGACAAGCTGCAGCTGTTCGACCACGAACGCAGGAAGCAGCACGAACACGTGAAGCGAAAGTATCCCGGAGCTCTGACGGCAGCACCGCCACGTCCCGTTTACTTTCTCCCCACGAGCACGCCACGTTATCAGGACACGTCGGCCGGTAAACTGTATTTTCTAATACAGTCATTTCTGCCCCGCTGCTGTCATGGTAACGTAACTCCGTGCGTCATCTAACGTTCGGCCGTTTCATATTTCCGGTTTACTTAACGGCTGAAACTAACGGACGATCTGTGGCTGAGTCGTTTCTTTGCTCCACACTGATGGCGAAACATCAGATCACACAGCGTCACTCAATCCTGAAATAAATCCATCTCAGGAACATTTAAAGTTTTAGCTATCGTCATTATTCTAAAGTGCTTCATCAGGATGAGTGAATAAAATATTGATTAGACACGTTTCTGATATTTATTTTGAATAAACGTCGGACAGGCGGCTTGTGTGCCGCCCGCACAGTTTACAACAGAACAAACGTTAGAACAAACTTGAGGTACTTACGTCAGCAAACTTGTGGTTCCTGAAATGCGACTTGTTGCACTTGAGCAGCTGAACGGCCAAGTTACAGTCCTGCCTGTAGCGCTCCTGCAGACACACAGAGAGACACAGTCAGCCAATCAGAGCGTGAGCTGTATTTATTCACGTTCCACACAGGATGAGAGAGCTGAAGCGAAACCGATCACATACCATCATCCATCCATCTGTTCCCGAGTCCTCGAATGACCGCGTGATCGTTACGGATCCACGAGTTTGTGTTTCTGTGTCAGAGCATTTGATTCTTTGACCGCTGTCGGGATGAATCCCACGTCGTCACATATGGAGGCATGGTCAAGACCCGTTGGCGTCATAGTTCAAACGCCCTGAGGGGTCGTTTTTCAACGCTAAAGGTAGGTGTAAGATATCCAACAGTAAAGACTGAGGGGGGGCGGTGGGACAGAAACCGGACTTTCAATGTCAATGTGCAGTAATCTGAATGGATGTTTAGAACGAACGGGTCAAACTCTGATTATGGCGGCAACTAACAATTATTTTGACTAGCGGCTAATCTAATCATTAAGAGCCCAAAGTGGCGTCTTCAAACTGCCGTTTTTGTCCAACCAACAGCCCATTTCCTTTCTAAGTCGCTCTCCAGAAGAGGAGAGTCGCTGCCCGACAGACACGTGTTAGAAACTCAATCTGAGGGACAAACAGCTGCTTTTCATAAAGACGTCAAAGTAAATGGACATCAATCCAAAACGTGATCTAACAGAACGTGATCAGCTGTGGGCGCCCTGAGCCTAAACTG